CCACAAAACCAGTGCCCATCTCTGGGACATGTGGGCAGATCATAGCTCTGCCCCTGGCCCTGGCTCCATGCTGTCACTACACCACAACAGTCCTGGCCTTGGCCCCGGCCCCGGCCCGAACTGCCCTGCTCCCGGACACTCCTCCTTACTCACCCCATCCCATTTGCCCAGCCAAGTGCCCCCTACCAGCAAAGGTCCCAGGCTGATCTCCATGGAGACCCCAACACCCTGCTCTGCCTGGCACCCACACCAGTGGGTGCAGGGTGGATGAGCCAGGGTGCCCAGGCAGCAGGGGCAGGTCTGGTGGCAACAGAGACACTAGCAGCAGCAACTGGAGGGAGCCACTGGGGCTTCCAGGAAAGAGTCCAGCTGCTGCGCCAGCCCTGCTGCAAGCCCAGGGGCATCAGAACGGGCTATACACATCACAGCCCGGGCTTCCCCTCACACCTGGGCCAGGTGAGGCTGAGGGACCCACCACAGGCCAGATAAAAATCTGTTGGCAGGCTGGATCCGGCCCACAGACTGTATTTTGCCCACCCCTAACCTATAGTCTCTTCCCAGCAGCTGCTGGTTCTTTCCTGGAGCCCCAGCCTGCACAGTGCAAAGGGAACCAGCTGAGGAGGGGATGCAAAGTGAGTAGAGATGGCTGAGACACCAGCCCAGAATCTCAGGAAATGGACTGGTCCGGGGCTGGTACCGTCAGGCTTGGCAGAGAACAAGATGTCCCCATGAGAGCAGCAGAGACCGCCCCACTCCTTTTCAGGCCAGAGCCAGGCTGCTCCCACAGGCTTGGTTTGCTTCCCAGTCTAATTCTAATTAGTCCCAGGGAAGAGGCCTCCCCTGAAGATGACAATTGCTCAGGCTCATGGATTCTGCTGGCCTGAAGAATTTCCCACCAATCCCAGCTCATGATGCCAAACTACCTCCGCTCTACCTGCATTACCCACAACCCTCCTGCACATGGACACAGAGCTCTTCCCTCCCTCCCGCCCTCCCTCCAGTATTGCCCAGCCAGGCGCTGTCAGGGACTTGATGTTTCCAGCACTCTTAGATACAGCAGCAGCTAAGCAGATGGCATTCAGCCGTCACCACGCACTAGATATGCACAAGAAATATTGACAACTCCCTCCTCTAAACAAAGCCAGCCAAAGTTCTTTGGCAGGGCCAGTGGAGCTAGTTGGAGGAGTCATCATCTCCTGCCACCGCTGCCAAATCCGGGGCTGCAGTTATGGCTTTGCTTCTAGCTCATGGGCTCTAAAGGCCCCTGAACAAACAAGCCTAGGCTGATTTTAAACAGGGTCTGGGCTTTATAAACTTAGAGTGAAGAGCATCAGCTGCTCCATGCCATCTAGCACTAGATGCAAATTGTGCTCCATAGTAGGCCTTTTTATGGGGAAGCACTGGTGGCTATAGGGTCTGCCTGAGCCAGCAGCATGAAACTACACATTGATGAGGAGTAGTTACAGCAGCTCTGAGCAGAAGGCTGGCTGCAGGCCAGGGCATCTCCAAGCACAGAAGGCAGGAGGAAGCAGGCAAGTGGCAAGAACAAGAGGACAAAGTTACCAACACAACGTGGATGGAATGGAAGGCTGTTGTCCAGAACTTCCCCTCACAGCCGGCACAGGGAAGGCAGGTTGCCACGTGATCCAATTCAGTTTGGCCATCCACATTAGAGTGCCACCTCACTGGACAGCTTATGCTTGTTTTGTTTCTTCCTGCAACAACGCAAGGATTCAATTCTGTTCCTGTTTGCCCTGTTGCTCTCCACTTGCTCTACGTAGTCAACCATAGGCAATGTTGAGCAGGGCGTGCAATGATCCAACACTGACCGTCAGGGACAAGGCAGTCAGACTGGCTGAGTAGTAAGCAAGGAGAAAGAGTGATGAAGAGCAGTCTGCATCATGTGGTTGGTTAGATCCCTTGCATCTAAAGAGGGCTACGATAACCTGGCTGTAACCTGTGCCAGAGGTGACTCTTCGATATGTAGTGGAGCCTCATGCTCAAATAGATCAAAAAACAAATATGTGGCCTTCTAGACTACAGAGGTTGGAGCACTCGGAAGAGGAAGTTGGTTTCCAGTCTGTGTTGTAACAAATGCTTTCTTCTCAAAAGCGAAAGAAATCCATTGTTTCTCTGTCATTGTAGACCACTGACTCCTCCATCTGAAGAACTGTGAGGTGATTTGTTTTGTAAGTATCATCACAGCCAGAAAACACAGGAAAGTGGAGAGACTAATGTAGTGGAGAAAAGCCAACCAGAGCCAGCAACTGCAAGATGAAGGCCAGCTAGTTCAAGCTGAAATTAGACATACCAAGAGTGACTAACCATGGGAACAAACCACAGGAAGCTGGTTGGTAGGGTGGTAAGATAGGTTTTAGTTCAGGTTACAGGACTAGATTAAAAGACTCATAAGATCATAGTAAAGTAGGACTGGAAAGGACCTCATGAGGTCATCTAGTCCAACCCCTGCTCAAGGCAGAAGTTGAAAACAATCTTCTGAGTTATTAGTGGCGAGGGGTACCAATTACTGAACAGGCCCACATGCAATAAGCACTTCTTGTCATGACATCTGTAGCACCACTAGAGCCAGGCTGCTGCTACTAGTGCACCCTTTGGCTGGCACATATTCCCTATGCAAGGCATGCTGGGGATGACCACTAGATTTATGCTTCCCCCTCACCCTGGCACTCCAATGCTGCCTATGCCTGGCTACGAGTTCAAAAAACCTAGCCAATAAGTTCCACTCAAGCATGCATTTTGGATGGTGCCGATGCTCTTTTTTTGGCATCTGCACTTCTTCTTCCCCATGTTCCAGCTCACTGTATAAGCACTGCTTGGGCATTCATGCATCATTCATCCAAGGTCTACATCCAGCCCAGCATAGCTAGCCCTTCACTGTTGATGCCTCAGTGAACAGTCAGCACAGTGCAGGATTTAATCAGCTTGTAGTAGTGCCCCATTTGGCAAAGGGTTCAAAGGGCCTCCGCTTAAAACTATTCAGTTGCAAAATGTGCCTTCTGTATCATGAGCAAGTCTCATGTCTGAGGTAAGCAAAACAGCTTTGTACCCCTTTCAGTTGATGGGCAGCCTGATCTCATGCTGACCTGATGCTCTTTGTACACCTGCCAAAGGCCACATTAATAGCCAACACACTACATAAAGGTAAGTAACCCCAGGAACAACTGGGGTTCAGTGCCAGTGGATATAGCAGGGGCACACTTCTGCAGGAGCTAGCTACCTTTATTTTCCTCAGGGTGATAGTCCAAGGCAAACAATCTAACAACTGAAGATCTTCTATGGTGTGGGCCACCAGCACAGCCATTACTATACAGGAGTTCCTGCACAGTCCACCGGGCAATCTCAGGCCTCACACACCAACTGGCAGGTTTAAACAACTCTGCAAATCCTGATGGCTGCAAAAGAAACCCTGAAGTCTGCTCTATCTAGTACCATAGCATGAAATAGCACAAAATAGGACTGGTCCCAAGATGAATCCTTATTTGACCTGCTCACAGGGAAGGGGTAGGCAGGATGAGGTCAACCTTTACCTTGCCATATGTATCATGGAGTGGTGTCAATAGACCAAATTTCATGGACAGCTGACTCTCTCAGTAAAGCTTCAAGGTCTAGGTTGGTTCACAGCATGATATGCCTTGGTCCAAAAAAAAATATCAGTGAAAGCTAGGCAGAGGTAGAGGTTCACTGGTCAAGTCTGAAATGAGCAGGACAATCAGGCTCACACTGGGCACGCAAGAACCAAACCGTGACTTTGCACAAACATCCAACAGAACAACGTGGAGGAAGTGTATGTCAGTTTTGCATCCTTCTATCAATTTGAAGCTCATAAGAATCCTTGCCACCTTCCCCAGCAAGGAGCATGCCTACAGGGCTACTACATGTAGGAGACAGTCCTGCTGTCAAAACAGGTAAGCCAAGTTTCAAAAGCCCACTAGTAACACTGAGTTGTGTTGCTGTATTGCAGCTGTACACTTATACTAACCAAACATTCCAAATCCTCATTGCCATTTTTAAATAAAGGCATGAACAAACTGCACCGCTAATGCACTTCAAAACCCTTGCAGGTATAAGTAAAAGAAAACCTATTTCAGGGCCAGCAAGGACCAACCAACATAGAAGTAGTAGCCCCAGCTGCCAGTTACATACCAAAAATGTAACCCCTCCGCCCCTTGTCAGGTTTTGCAGGGTGTTAGATCTCTTCTAATTCTTGCCTTCCAAAAACGATTAAGGACTGATTTTCAGAAGATGCCCTCCCCAAAAAGACAATCTTTTCTCAGAATTTCACCTAAACACTTTCCTTTTAGGAGTAACATTGTCAAACAACCACTGTGGAAACAAGCTTTTTTTTTTTTTTTGGGGGGGGGTGGGGAGGGGCGGATTGGAGGAGACTGAACAGAACAGATCCAACATCATTGTGACATCAAACAGGAAGGAGAGGAGGAAGCCTGATACGAGAATTTATACCTTGCACTCCTCTCTTAGCTATGGTACCAATCTTTGCACTATGCTAGTAAAGTCCTATGGGTCGCATAAATTCACTCCTAGCCATTTGTCAAATTCATGGGCAAATTGTTAAACATAGCAGGGTGCCAGTTGCTTAACTGACCAGTAAATACTTCTCCTGTGGGGAACCCAATACCTGGGCAGATGCACTGGAACAGCTGTGCCAAAGGACCTGCAGAGGCTCATGGGGCAAAGCATCTTCCTGTACATAGGGATTACATGGTGGGGGAATGTCTGTGGCCACAACCCACACCCACCACACAGCAGATACCTCCCAAGCTCTGGGCTCCCTGGGCCTTATGGGTCACAGCACCCCACCCCCACTCTGCTTGTTCTTGTGCTACAGAAGTATGTTGGCATTGGAGGTACTTCACAACTAAGGGATTTTACCAGATTCAATGATAATAGACACTTGGACACAGATGCATTCAGCCTCCTGGTCAGCACTGCCCCAGCTGCAGGATGAAACACAATCTGCCTTGATCAGCACTCAGTTTATTCCACTTTTTAAAATTTTCTAAAAACAAGAGATTAAATACTAGACAAATGTCTGCAATTTCCAGCCCACTAAGACTGAGACAGAAGAGAGAGATCAGACCACATGCCAGGCAGAGCATGAGCTAAACAAGACACCGATAGAGAATCAATACAGGCATCATCTCCGTTTCTCCTCATTAACAGCACCACAAGGAGGAAGTGCAGTAGTCTCTGGAGATATGGGAAAATAGTGAAGAGAATGTGATAGAGCCCATAAGAGCTCATCCTGCTCAGAGCAGAGTCACTTCTAGAGGAAGTCAGCTTTTTCTATGGCCCAACTGGTCTAATTCATTGTAGTGTCCAATTCATGTTTGCAGTTGTGCCACAACCGAAAGAGACAGTAGTACTCATGCAATTCTACCCCTTCTCCCACAAGACACATTCTGCAAAGCACAGCATAGGGTCTGATCACCACAGCATTCACTTATGCAGACTCATTTTGGGAACTGGACATGAGGATACACAATGTTGCTTAATGGGAAGATGGCCTGTTAAGTGCTCATTTTGCCCATGCTGGCTGGGTCAGGCTGGGGAATCTTCAAGTTGGAACTGTCCAAGGGTGCAAGCAGTCCCCAAACTTTGTTGCAGATACAGTGGTGACTACTTCCACCAGAAGAGCAGCACTCCCAAACAAATGTTATGATCTGGCCCAGTTCTTCTCTGACCAGGCACAGGCTTTCTGTTAACACCAAGGAAATCAGATGCCACAGCAAATTCAGCTGGGTGCCCTTTGTGACAGGACTCAGTTGGTGAGCCATAGAATTTTAAGGGCCTATACAGCAAGTCATGAGCTAATGCCTAGCTGGTCCAGCTGTCCAAGCAGGCCTCAAACTTAGGTAAGGGGTTCCTTCCATTTCTGTACGACAGTTCCAGTGACTCTTATCATCTTTACCTGCCCAATCCAGTTCTGGCTTCTGCTTCAACACAGAGTAGAGATGGGACTCGTATCCACTCTCTCTCACATCAATACAGGTCCTCCTGAGCATCTCCCCATCTATGGACTGTATCCTGGTGCTTTGGAGACTATCAAGAGTAGAGAATAGCTGAATGTCCCAGTCTGACCCTGAGGAGGAGGTGGTCAAATTTTCAAGGTCAGGACAAGCCTGTGGGTTAGACGGGAGAGGCTGGAGGACACCGGGATGAATGGCCATGCTTGTACAGTGGTCTCTGGCATTGGCAGTCTCAGGTACCACACTCTCAACTAGTCCAACACAGCAGACACTGGGAGAGCTGCAGTGCTCCCTTTTGGCAGCTACGGGGCCATGCCAGGTGGGACAGCCAGACTGGCTCAGGGCAGAATGAAGCTCAAGGCCAGAGTCATGCACTTGGCAAGGAGACACTGTGTCCTCTTTGGGCTGCCCACCTTGGTAGCTTTGATGCCCTTTGGCCTGGTTACACAGAGTGGCTGTGCTCACCTGGACTGCCTCTAGGGAGACAACATCCATGGAAGCAGGCCCTAGGAGGTCTGATGGTGATTTGGGATCCCCAGGGTCCTGGTTATGAAGCACCCATAGGGCAGGGGAACTGCAGGGCCTGCTGGAAGGTAGCGAGAGCTCTGCCGCTCTAGAAGTGCATGATGGAGCAGTTCTGTCAGCCCTGGCCACAGCCAGAACGCTGTGCCTCAAAGCAGCCTGCCCCACTCCCTGATGAACCAGCCTGCAGACCGTTGAGCCTGTCCATATATCCAGACAGAGGGGATCACTACCCAGCTGCATCTTCCGCTTCTTTTCCACACATGCACTTGGAGAGGAAGAAAGTTTACGTTTCCTAGAGCAGGACAATTCTCTTGGACAGCAGCTTGTGGGTCTGAGCGCTTGCTGGGGAGCAGATCCAGGTGAACAGGCAGCTCTCTCCCCACTACTGCAACAGGTCCCATGGTTGAGATCAGGAGCAGGGTCTGAGCCAGCAGCACCAATCACAGCAGCCCCGTCTGTATTGCTGCACACAGCAAGGACTTTTTTAGCTGGCCTGTCTCCAGCAGGGGGCCCAGTCTGTAGCACTGGCTTTGTAGACAGCCCTAAGAGGCAGTCCTTAGCAGGCAGTTCCAGAACAGGACAGGGCTGGTCAACTCTCTCACTGGGCTTCTCTTCAGGACTTGGGGGACATTCCCCATTCAACAAGCTGAGCCTGTCTTCTGCACTGAGGCAGAGGTCTTTCCCAGCCTGCAGGTCCTTCCTCCCCAGTCCTGCAGCTGGTGCGGTCATGGCATTTGCTTGAGAACTGGAACATGCATCTGCTGCGGAAGAGCAAGATACACTAGGAAAGAAAAATATTAAATTTAGCATGAGTTCCATGGCATGCGGCAATATCAGAGCTGACAGTAACCCAGCAGGAAACCTATGCAATACCTGGGGTGTCAGAGTCCCTACACTGAGAAGGGCAGATGGACAATAGGTAGCACAGGCAGAGCCTATTCGAGGATGCATGGCTGATGGAGTTTGAGAGTGTCACCTGCTGGCAGGACAGAGTAACCACAACCAGCCTTGGCAGAACATGTTCTCATCCTCCTGATGGAGACCAGGGTGGCCCAAGTCATATGTATGACAGGGAAGAGGATGAAACACAGAGGAGGGTTTATATTTTAGGTGTGCCAAGTCCTGGAACAGAATGGGCAACTTGTGCTGGACTGGGCAATAGAGAAATTTCATAGGAGTAAAGGACACATGAAGGGTCTGGGGAATTTTCCATTGGAAACAAAAGGGAAAGCTTAAGGAGAAAGGAATGCATAGTAGTTTGGTCATGCATTTGAGGGTTCAACTGGTGAGAGGAATCAACCCAAATGCCCTGGAAACCGATTGGAACTCCTTTACAACTCATCCAGGCTCTTTTTTTGCCAAGGTAGCAAGGCTGGGGGGCAGTGGAGGCCATTTCATCACCAGAGGTTGTACATTTGACTGCTCAGTGACCTGTTGACTCCCTATAGATTTACCAGCACCACCCCAGCCCCCACCCCACTGATCTGGACCGAAAGGTCCCATTACTTAAGCCTGACAAATCCTGACATGCTGGTATTTCAGTTCAGCCTAGCTGAAGGCACAAGGCAGTAAATCCCATGGTAACAGATTCACAGCATCCCTGCTTTGCTGCCCCATACAAGTTACCTGGATGATGAGAACCAAGCTGGGAGCTCTACAAAGTCATTGATGAGCTGAGAGATGAGATGGTCTACAGCTGCATATTGAGAGTCATCCAGTGCAAACTGCCTGTGGTGGGAGCTTTGAAGGTGCTGAAAGAAATGGCAGAGTAAGAGAGTATTTGGAAGACATCAGGTCAGGAAGGGAGGTGGAAATTTGAGCCAGTAGCTTCCTCCCACAGTATCATGCATATGAGACCAGAGTGCAGTCAAGCTACAATAACTAGCCAGAGTCAAGAGAGAATGCCTGGATGGCAGCTGCTGGGGGAAGGCTAGAAACCAAGTGTGCATAAGCCCTTGTGTAGCCTATGGGGCTAAAAGACCTAACAAATCTGGGTACAAATAGGTAAGTTGCTTAGTATCTCTTCCAGGAACAGGCAAACCCTTAAACCCTGCACTAAGCCAATCCCTAACCATTCAGTTTATCAGCCTGTCATGAGACTACAGAACCTGTAATGCCCATGACCTTGGTTCCCAAAGGTTGGCATGACACTACTTGTAACAATCCCATCTCCCAGACCTTTGCACACCACTAATCCATGTGATTTGTTTGCTCCGTTCCTCCAGAGATCTTGGGATGCTTTGCCAGGACAGGAGATCAAAGGTCACAGCCAAATCCCAGCCTTTGGCTAGGAGGCTGGGTCAATTAAACACCATAAATATAAGACTTTGGTTATATAGTATATTCCTTTCCCTCTTAAAAGGGCCTGTTACAATCACATCTTCCCAAGGAGTGTCAAGACTCAAGCCAGAACCTAGCAAGAGCTAGGGAGTCCAGTGAAGAATTAGGTCTGGTTTGGGATTGGGAGCCAATAGGGCCCTTACCAGCTGTAGATCTTCAAAGGTCTCCTGACAGCACTCACAAAACCCCTTCCTCTTTTTCGGCACAGTTGGTGGAGTGGACTGGGGGCTCCTCTCTCTCTCACTGAGAATCATACAGCCCTCAGGGACTCTGCAAGGAAGCAACACAAGAACCCCCAGTAGTCAGATCCTGCATGAGGGCTGCTGTTGGGTCCTGATGTAACATTTACTTGGATGCCCAGAAGGGTCAAAGTGGGAAAGCATGGTCAGGTACAAAGCACAAAGCAAGGGACTCTGCCCATTGTCCAACCCTCCCCTCTCCATCTGGGAGAGTCAGCCTCACTGGCCAGGTTGGGTAGAGCCCATAAAATAAGAAAATTGGAGAAGGGAAAGTGTCTTTGCCTTGAACCACGGGAACAAGGGGCAGACTGAAGGGAGTCACCCAGCATAGGCACATGAAGTTTAGTGGCAACTTGCATAAGGGGAGCTGCAAATTACTGTACCTGGTTTTGCAGGAGCTTGAGGGGCTTTTCAGAGGCTCAAATGGGCTGCAATCTTTTGGTGCCAAGAAGTTCAGATCAGGGAAGCTCTTGAACTGGTGGTGTAAGGGCCTGAATCGCCTGAAAGAGCAAAAGCAAAATTATGACAAACTCGTAATCAGGTCACAGTTTCTTGGGTCAGCAAGACACTTTTTTCATTCTCTGGCCTGGCATTTGCCCCTGACACCATTACCCACAACTGCTGTGACAGCCCTCAAGGTTTCCCTTTGCTTGGCACTTCCCAATTCTCACTGGATTAAGAGCAAAATCAAACCTGGTGCTACTCCAAGAGTCAATGTTTACACAAGGTCCAATTTTGCCATGATTTCTGTTTGGGAAAAGCAGCAAGACAGGCAGCTTCTCAGCCTTCATCCCCCTACCCCTTTAAAAATAGAAACAACA